CCACCCCCCGCCACGCCGCGTACGCTCGCCCTCGCGCGCGCGCGCGCGCCCCTCCCGTACGAGGTGCCCCTGGCTCTCGCCGAGGCCCCTCGCGCCCCGTCCTGGCGCACCACGACGAGGCCGCCCTAACCTCCAAGCCGCGCCATGAACGCGGTGTACTCACCTTGCTTCCGCACGTGCATGGCCCAGAGGTCCGCGTCCGAGACCGCCGTGTCCACGTCGGGCTCCAGGGTGGCGGCCGGGGTCGTGCTCGCTTCAGTCGGGAAATCCTTTTGGCGGCCGCCTCCTAACCTCTCTCTGTCTTTTTCCTCCTCGCGGGCCGTGCTGGCGCGCCAGTGGTGGGGAGCGGCACTGTTAGTCAATTATTGACACACTCGCGTGCGCGTTGTCCAGGCCCGGTTGACAAGGACGGATGAGCGGCCGCCCGAACCGTTCGACACGATCGTGCCCGCGAAGGTCGCGAACTGACAACACTCGGGGTGGGGGTCCACGACGGCGCGACGGGCCGCCCCGCGCGGCGTGCTTCGACGGCGTCCTGCTCGTCGTCGTGCTGCTCGGGATGCTCTCGGCAGCGCACACCCCCCGGGGACGAGCGCGCGCGTCCGTGTTCCGAAGCGGAGGCGAAAGGGACCCGCGACGGCACGCGACGAAGGCCTTGCCCCCTGCCCGCTCAAGGGCCGCGTCGGGGAGGGTCGCGTGAGGTCGTGACCCCGTGGTCCCGTGGTCCCGTGGTCCCTTGGTCCCGGAGCGCGTCGGCAGCTCCCGCCTCCAAGCAGAGCACCAGCGTGCTGGCCGAGCAGGCCGTGCTAGCGCCCAACCCCGCCTCGTCTCGCACCGCTCCGGCTCAGCACCTCCGCCTGGCCTGGCCACCGTGTAGTCACTGGCGCTCCGCTGTGCTCCACTCGCGCTCGCAGCCCTTCCTTCCCCTAGCGCTGCCTGCCAGCCTCGTCCGACCCGCCCCGCCGCGCCGCCACCCCGCCCCTCGCCACCCCGGCCCGCCGCCCAGCCGCGCCGCCCGCCTGGCACGCTGACGCAGCGAGGGGTGGCGGAGGCGGCGCGCGCGGGGCGGGGGTGGGCGTCACCCCTCCTCCCATCCCTTTGCTCGCCTCGCCGACGCC